TTTAATGGTCCTACATCAAATGGAACATTAATTTCATAATATCACCTCCAGTCCTGTCATGTCAAAAAACCTCAATGGAGTCCCTTTAAACTTTCACAACCTACTTAAATTAAAACAGTTTAAAAATGAATTCCAAATACCTGGCAGAAGTGAGAGGCAAGTGATTGGAAATTATCAACTTTAACTACTTGAACTTAGAGACTTCAAATATCAAGATATAAATGTAAGACTTTACAAATGCATATCTTATATAGATTCTACATTAATATATTTTAAAAAGGAAGACTATTATTGTAGAGTCAAAAGAGGAAGGAAATTATCAATGGCAAGAAAATTTACCATACTAGTTAACTAAGATATTCATAAAACAGTAGTGGGAACATATGACCTATCTGTAGCAATTGACTCATCACAACTAGTGTCATCAACATCATATACCTGCATTGGTATCATATACTTGGTTGGAGACACTCGTTCCGGAATATGGTAATCTCCTAATCCACTTTCAATATCTGTAAATGCTGAAACAGAAACCTCCGATCTGTCTGTAAACAACTGATCACCTTCATCAAGCTCCGTTATACTAATGTCATCCTCTATTAATTCCACAACATGAGCACTGGCTGCTGACAATGAAAGCTTGTCCATGTCTAAAACTACAGAGTTACCAGTCTGCTGATAACTTACTGTTTGGACTGGTTCAGTATTTTTACCCGATAAATCTAAAGGAGGCACCTTCACCTTCTTTTTAAATTCCTCATTATCATTACAAACATCTTTTAAATCCACCTCTTGTGATTTTTTCAATTTCCTGAACTTCGGTTTTAATTTTGGACGGTTATGTTCATTATTTCTTTGTTCGTTGTTTTCTGACATTTCAACTTCAGAATTTCCTTTTCTATCTTTACTTATTGTTTTACCAACATTAATAAACATCTTTCTGTCAACTTTTTTCAGCAATGACTTTGTTTTGGGTCTAGCCCCTTTATCAGAATCAACAGATATTTTAATTTCTTCAGAATTATTAACATCATTATCTTTCACTTCCCTTAAAATTTCGTTTGGTATTGCTATTTTTGTTTCTTTATATTGTTCAGCATTTGTAACAACAATACTTGGAATTAGTGGGACAGCCTTTCCAGGAATTGGTTTGTTTGATTTTTTCTTCGAATGGCGGACAGATTTGTCACTTTTGTTTAACTGGCGTACATTTTGATCTTTGGTATTTGCTATTCCTAGTGTTGTTTCCATTGGTAACACAACAGGTGCTGCACCTTCCTTCCAAGGTGTAATGGACTGTTCCACTTCCTGAGAAACTACTTCTGTTGGAATATCATAATAATCCCATGTAGGGGTTTCAGGTCTCGAACCTGAATCTTCATCTGATTTTTTACCAGATTTTGTTGTTTGTTTTTTAGATTTCTCCGCTTCTTTATTACTTTTTATACCACTCTCAACAAGAACTTCACCTAAATCAGTATCATCAAAGTCAGTTATTTCTAGTTTAACATCTGACTTACCAACTAAATTAGTTTCAGTATTTCTTAAATTGTGCTCTTTAATATTTTCTAGTACTTGGACGGGCTTCATTTTCCTCAATGGATCGTGAACTTTTGGAATACCTACACTTTTCTCATGTAACCTTACAAAACTATTTTTAGAACTGTCAGAATCTGGGCTTTCTAGCTCACCATGCAACGATACATGAAACTCACTAGAATATCCACTCTCATCTAAGGGCGTTATATTTAAATCCAATTTAGGAACATTTGGCACAATTTCAAACTTTTGGTTCATATCTACTTCCACAGATGGAGAGTGATGTTTCCATGGTTGCAAATCTGGGTTACTGGCAGCTTTTTCAGATGAATCATCTGTATCCTCCGGAAGCACAATTCTCACATTTGGGCTACTAAAGAAGTAATTTCCACCTGGAGAATTATTCACAATGTCCAGTTCGGATGCACAATATACCTTCATGCTAGAAGGAATTGTGTGGTTCATACATGGAATTATTACTAATCTTTCCCTTTTCAATTTCTTCACGGCAGATTTTAACGACATACGTATCATTCCAATAAGGAAACTTCGGTGAGAGTAACGCTGTGTTACACATACCTCAATTTCTAGCTGTTTTTCTTTGACAACATCATGTGTTATTCCTGAGTATTCTAAAGGCTGACTAAACTTAAAGTTTGCCGGTGTAAATACATGTTTAACGCTAATATCTTTCTTCTTCTTCCAATGAATAGAACCTTTGGAGGAGTCCACTTTGACTTCTTCTGTTTTACGCTTTGTTTCACGTTTCTTGTCAGGCTGAAGGTAGCTCTTTACATAAATTGAATGAATCATTGAGGTATTTGCTGAAAATTAACAGACAAAAACAAATCAAAAAATTAAACAATATAACCATTGACAAAGAATCCCAGCAGAGCCATGAAATAAAACAAAATAACAAATGTAATGGCAATAACTAAATAAGGGAGATCACAGTATGGGATGTATGAAAATGACATTACAAAAAAAATATAAGTCCAGAACAGTTTTAGTTAATGATACATTTAACAGGGAAATAGCAAATTTACAAAGTGGCCATCACACAAGAATAAAGTTGCAAACTCACGAGGTGGAAGAAGTAGATCAGAGAGCTGCCATACACGTATTTTCAGTGACCCCTTTGCTGCATGGTACTCCACAGACAGGTGAATATGACCTAACACTGATAAATAGAAACATATTTTACTTAATTTAACAATTTGAAATACCTGATATCTTCCTAATAATTCACAAATAATTCAGAATAAATGCTGTAAATACAAATTTTATATGTTTTATGCTTGAATTGTAGATAAACAAAAATCTTCAGAATAAAATTAACTTGTGACTCAACTGTGAAGAAATTCCATTTTGCTAAAACATATAGTATACTGACTCTGTTATTTCCAGTTCATGTGATCTTCTCTGGGAAAGAAGCATTAACAATTATTATAACACTTGCAACATAATTTAATTGTTTTGTTTACATACAATAACATACAACTGCCAGGCATTTTTATCCTTCATGCCACACAATGTAATCTTATGAAATGCACTGAAACAACTCCTAAAAAAATATTTATCAAATAATAAAGATGAGTAAACATATATACCTGGACCATCGTCTTGCTCAAAAATGACTGATGATCTTCTACTGGAAGATAAAGATGTTAGGTCATGTGACCGGTCAGTTGAGATTCCTTCATCTTTATCGTCATCAGGGTTTAACATTAAATCCTTCATTTCTGAAACAAAGCAATATCAAAACATAAATAGTGCAAATGCTTCAATTTTGAATTCCCAAGCTGCTTCAATGTTTTATTCTATTGTCTGTTACAGTTACCATGATTTGATGAAACAAGAGTTACAGTAGGATAATGACTGTGTCCGACTAGATAGTAAAACAAGAGCCTGGATAACGTAGAAATTATTAAATTAAAAAAGGGCCATAGTTCTGTCAAAATCCATTAAGAGTTATCGCAAGCAAAAAATTAACCAATGCAAACACCGAAGCCTGGGTGAGTTAAATAGCTCTTCTTTTTCTTCAAATAGTAGGGCTTATAACAACTTTTATTATAACAATACCTTATACAAGGTGTGAACTATGAAAAATAAATCAAAATGTGCACATATTTTCATATATTGAAAAAACTTACTCTATTTTCATCAAAAAACTACTAAGATGAATATATAACATTGATGTAACAGAAAATCATCAAAAGTAATCTGACTTACTTAATCTTTCAAGAATTTTGCGTCCACCAGGAGTGACAACATCAAGACAATCTTTGTCATCCTCATCCTTAATATCATACCTGGCCCCTGCGTTTATCAGCAATTTGAGGCATTCAATGTGGCCATTTTCTGCGGCATAGTGTGTCGCTGTACGTCCCCTTTGATAATCCTTCTTGTTTGGATCACCTGTACAGAGGTATAATGGTTGCAAATGAAAACATATCTCCTTTATACAAGGGTATGAATAAAATTAAAATGGCTTCACATTTTTTATAGTGTTAGCTGCAGCCATAAAACAAAGATGTGTTTCTCTTTGTGCTCATGAATAATAACAACATGTACAACCTTCATCTGGTAGGCCTAGCATTTTTCTGCCATCTTTCTTCACTACTAACAGTGTAAAAATTGCAAATTTAAACTTTTATACATTTTTAAATTCTAAAAAACATCGTGATATAGCCACTTTGCCTGAAATATTAATTTTTTATCACATAGAGCTTGGCGCAGGAGTGTAATACAGTCATTTGATAAAAACAATATTACACTTGTGATATAACACTTTGATGTGAAGTCATTTGCATAATATACAAATATAGCGTTAAAGGGCACTAATGTAAGTGTAACACTATACGCGCATCATTGAAAAATCTTTTAACAGTTTACTGTTCTTATCTTATATCTGTGATAAATAGATAATAGATTAAAAAATTTAGTATTAAAGCTACACTCATTCAATATTCTCTATGTAAGAAATACAGTTATCATATGGTCTCTTATACAACAATAGACTATTGTTTCTCTTCTTTTCTCTCTCTGATATTTAAATTTCATTTAAGTGACAAGTTTATAGTTATACATTATAAAGAATTAAGACAACAGCAAAAAAAATGCATACCACCATCTGGGATTAGTAAAGCATTGTTTGTGTTTTAAATCACATCAACAATGTAAAGAACATATAACTTGATTGGACTTGTTGAATTCCTAAGCAACAAGCAATTATCATGTTTATTTGGCTAAAGTATGATAAATGATATGAAACACCTCTCTGTACAGATTAATAATGACAATAGCAGGAAAAATAAATTTGACATTTATGATAACAGAAAAAATGCAACTGGATAATCAAGGGAAAATTAAAGTGTATAAAGCTACATGAATAATATTTGTTCATAAAATTATTAAAAGAGTACTTCTAAAATATCTGTATAAAAGAACTGTTTCTTTGATATCATAAGAGCCAATGGCCTGGCCCATTCATAAAATCACTGCTAAATGGTTGAACCCCTACTTCTAAAAATAATTTTAACATTCATAAATTTTAATAAAAAATATTTCATGAGATATAGCTTTATACCCTTCAAAAATTCTATTCAAAGATCCAAACCTTTTTTTTGTAATAGCAACTTGAGAATTTCTTTGTCTCCATTATATGCAGCCTCGTGAAGGGGACTCCACATATACACTCCGATCAGATTGGGATCATAACCTTGCTGGAGGGCGATCCTCACATCCTCAATCTGAGAGAACCTCACAGCCTCATGAAGCTTTGTGTCAATTTGTAGTTGACCATCTACCCCACCCATTGCATCTTTTTCTTAGTCTATTGAAACAATAATTAATATTAATATGAATTTTTACTGATTTATCAAATATGAGTACTTAACTCATTATTGTCTGTCAAACTGACAATTTAAAACTCACTAAGGTACCATTAATACATAATGCAAGTCTGTGACAAGAATTAGTATTATATTCCAGTAAAATACTTTAAAGTTGAAATACTATAGTGACATGCTTATTGATCTATGGCGAATATAATTCAGGTTCACATTTAGAATGTTTGACAAAGCGTGCCCGTGTGTCAAGCATACCACATCAATGTGTACCACCTTTATCTTTTATAGAGAATTGATTTGCTTATCAATTGTGTTTTTGTTTTTGTAAACAGACAGATCATTTTTATAAATTGTCAAATTTATCATAAATATATATTTTATTTTATTTTTAAATGTTATTGTACATTAAAGAGAATGAAATTAAAATGAGTACTTAAGAAGATAAATAAAAATTTCTAGCTTGACATTGTTATATTTATATCCATAATTATTCATAAAAATATTTTTAAAAAATGAATCAACTTGATTAAAATAAATAATAGTCATATCCATTTAACATTTAATTTCTTTTTTTTTTTTTTTTTTAATGCGTTTATTTAAGGTCGCCGCCGGAAAGCCCATATGTCGGGCCATCTTAGAGCGTCCCGCCGAGATTTTTTCCAGCTTTATTGGTGGAGGAAGACCCCAGGTGCGCCTTCGGACATTATTTCTGGCACCTGGGTAGAACAACCGACCTTCCGTAAGCCAGCTGGATGGCTTCCTCACATGAAAGATTTCGACCCGAGTGAGGATCGAACCTACAGCGGTGAGGGACCTGTGATCTCAAGTCAACGACCTTAACCACTGGGCCACGGAGGCCCCCTTAACATTTAAGATTTGACAGGTTGTATTAATGGTCATACCGTATTGTTTCCATTTAACTCTCTCCCTCTAATAAACGCCCCCTACCACATTTTGTGATAGAAAAATATCTGACCTTATAGATTTATTATCCATAACAAAATGGCAATGCAAAATATCCATACATTTTATTTGAAAAATTACAACTACTAGTGATCAATCAAAAGAATACTCAAACAGAAAATCAGTAAACTTCAACTCTTTTTATTTTTTTTTTAATTGTTTAATGTCCAGCACTTTCATAATCTGTACTCTCAGCCAGTACGAAAATGAGTCATCATCACTCTCAGACAGTACAATCCCATCACCTGCCAAAATGTTTTCAATTACTTTTTTTGCTGATTCAGGGCTCGACATTAACGGTTGCCCGACTACCCGGGACAACTCAAAGTTTGGTCCGGGCAAGTTATTTTGAAAAGCACTTGTCCGACAGGGCAATTGAAAATAAAAAGCATCATTGACAAAATGCATGTACAAAATGAATAGAAATAATATCTTTTCATTTATAAACATCTTTAAAACAAAAATACACCATGAATCATTACCAATAATGTGAATATACTACGGTCATGTACATTTGTTGATATAGGAAACGGAAGCAAAAATATGAGCATGCGCCGCGGTAAGGTTATTCCCCGTTCTAATAATAGACTATATCTAATTTTGTACAAGGTAATTCCCGGGTTATGCTGTTGTTTAAATTTTGATGTTTGCATGTAAAGATATCATTGAAAATATGTAAATAATCGTATTGATCTTTAAATATAATTGTTAAATAAAGTTTTTGCATTTAAAATGATTTATTGTTTAATCTAATATAACAACATTATGAACTTAGTCAACGAAGACTCGTTTACGGCTGTTGACTTGATGATTGAACGAGGAATTACCTTACCGCGGCGCATGCTCATATTTTTCCTTCCGTTTCCTTTATCAACAAATGTACATGACCGTAGTATATTCACATTGAATAAACAGATGAACCGATGTTTTAGAAAAACTACTAAATGCAAAAAATATTTGTGTCTAACTAACAATCAATTTCATAAACAATATGTCCAGTTTATTGCCTTAATTGTTAACATTACCTAATACAAGAAGTATTAATGTATGAGCTTGTTTGTTTTTTCTGATTTATACATTTTTACCATTTTTAGGTCAGGACAAGTAAGTCTTAGGTCAGGGCAAGTAGTTTTAAAAACTACTTGCCCGACAGGGCAACCTGATTCAAAAGTTAATGTCTAGGCCTGCTGATTACAATGTCTTGATATCGTACAGGGCGCCCAGCACCTCAAGTCTTATTTTTAATTTAATTTGATGTGATGGCTATTTTAATTTTTCATCTGGCACCATTCTCCTACACGCTTTATGTCTAGACCAGATACTTTTTCTGTATGATGTTTTCCCTTCTCGCCAGCTTGTTTAATAACTTTATTTTGAAAGATGCTGTGTAATGATTTTCCTTCTTCCAGCACCTAGATGTGCCAATCATGTTGAATAGCTACATACATGAATTAAAATATCAAACGACACATGTATCGCGCTAGCCTCTATTGCATTACGTAATACAAAAAAATTAATACTGCGACTTGTTATAAAGCACATTTTTATAGTTCTAATTAGCGCCCTCATTTTTATAAAATGCACGCCCCAAAGGAGATAAATAGAAACAATTTAATACGGTAATTAATGCAAAAGTGTAAAAAATAACAAGTTGTTTGCAGAAAGAATTAATTGGTGATATGCTTCGACTTAAAATGGCAAGCTTTGGTAGCTATACTCTTAGACAATAATATGCTTCGCCTTGCATCCTCATGTTATGTTTTAACAGATTTATCGATAAAATAATTGACATCTACAATAATGCAAAATATGTCACGCTGGTTATATTGTCAACAGTTTTGTGGTGATACTTGAAAATCATTTTTAATTAAGGTAACAAAAAATAATACTGTCATTTTCATTAATGATCATGATGTAAACAATCTGTACCCCACCCACTTGAACTCATGGTGATAATGAAAATAGGCATAGCATAACTTACAATACATTGCAAAACAAGCTATTCCAAATAATTAGCACTCAAATTGAAAACGAAAACATATATCACGTAAGAGATTCTACTCTGGTTGAATCATTTTACTTGAATATAGTTGTCTAATACGTTAACTTCTTTGCTAATTGGCACATCGCACTTGCTGTTGCCACAGACGCCATTTCCTAAATATCGCGTGCAAAGTATCGTGAGATTTGGGAATTGTGGGAAATCAATGGCTGCCTTGTGCAAGTTGTGGTTTGCAGATTTCTAAATTGTCGCCGACAAACCTAATTTTGTCTGTTTTTGCAAAACATTTACCTGATTTTGTGTTGCCAGATGATTTATCTGCACTCATGATCAAGTATATTGTTATGGGCTTGCGAGGATTTTTTGTACTGGCTGCTAAGATATGGAGTTTCATATGCTACTGTTTCAAACGTCAAATTCGCTCGGTATGTAAATAAACACGAAACTATGCATGACAACAATCATGAGCTGTGTCTCACAGCTGTACACACAATTGTTGGTATATCGTGATATTTTTCCTACTTGTGAAATTGTGGGGATCGTTTTAGTTGAACAGGAAATAAAAAAATTTAGAACCGAAAGTTGACTAAAACTAAAAGAGTTGATAAAAATAGAGATGAGTCAATAAATATTAAACATTAAATTCTCCTAAAGAATTGTATTAACAGATCATCTGTCTTGTATTTTAGAGAAACACAATTTAAATGACATAATACACCATCTTTAACTATTTTTGTTCTTTGTGGAAATTTCCTTACAAGTGTCTCTATTCACACCGGTAATGTAACGATTCGCCACACTAACGATTCGCCACATAACGATTCGCCACAGTTAAATAACGATTCGCCACGTGTTCAAATACAAACTTTTTCACACCTGTTTTCAAATTGTTGATGGAAAAAAAAATCCATTTTATATTTCATTTGTTAATTACATAAATTAATTACACTGAATACAGCTTTTATTGAATAAAAAACACACGAAAACTAAATATTTTATTAACAAAATTACATAACACATTTTATAACTTCGTTATTTATATAAACTGGAAATATAATAACAAACTTTTATAGAATAAAAACACATGCAAATAAATATTTTATTAACAAAATTACATAACACATTTTATAACTTCGTTATATATATAAACTAGAAAAATATAATAACAAACTTTTATAGAATAACAAGAGCTGTCGGTAGGACAGCACGCTCGACTATTCTAAGTGCTTGATAGTAAAAGAGCCTTGATAATGTTAAATTTTTCAAGTTCACAAAAGGGCTAATTTTTTTTTATAAATTCATGTTATAGGCCTAAGAGAAAGTCTAATTATACAGTATTGGCTTGACTATTCGGAAGGTAATGTCACAAGGGTGTTTTATTGAGTATAATAATACTAATTACCTATGAATACATAAATTTGACAGAAAAGGTACAAAGGCTTGTTATTAAGATGTTTTATCAAGTAAATCACTGCTTTATTATTATGAATGCATAAAATTGTCCCAAAATAGGTACAAACCCTTCAGTAGTTATTGAGATAACAGCTTACAAAAATACAAGCAAAACTTTACCATGAATTTCTAAGTTGAAAAAGGGGAGAACAATCAGCCTAAATGCAAGAAAGAAATTATGGATCTTTGTCAGTGACCTACAATTATGACCCTAAATGCATATGTGAAGTTTGAAATAAATATCTTGAATAGTTATTGAGATATGTAAACCTTGCATGTAAACATTAACCAAGAAACTAAGTAGAAAAGGGGATATGAATCAGCCTTAATGCAAGATAGAGTTATGGAACTTGGTCAGTGACATACAATTATGACCCTCCAATTATGACCCTAAGTGCATGTGTAAAGTTTCAAGTAAATATCTTTGAAGGCCTTTAACCTTTAACCAAAATTTCTAAGTTTCAAAGGGGCAATAATTCTGCAAATATTGCAGGCAGAGTTATGCAATTTTGCAAACTGATGTACATTGTTACTATAAAAAAGTATTTTAAATTTCAATTGAATATCTCAAGCAATAATTGAGATATTTGACTTTACAAAAAAACTTTAACCAAAATTTCTAAGTTCCAAAGGGGCATAATTCTGTCAATATTGTAGGCAGAATTATCCAACTTGTCAATCTGATTTACCTTGTTACTATTAATAAGTATTGTAAGTTTCAATTGAATATCTCGAGCAATAATTGAGATATTTGACTTTACAAAAAACTTTAACAAAAATTTCTAAGTTAAAAAGGGGCATAATTCTGTCAATATTGTAGGCAGAGTTATCCAACTTGTCAATCTGATGTACATTGTTACTATAAATAAGTATTGTAAGTTTCAATTGAATATCTCAAGTAATAATTGAGATATTTGACTTTACAAAAAACTTTAACCAACGCAGACGCCGACGCGGACGCCGACGCCGGGGCGACTACAATAGCTCACATTGTCAGATAATAAAAGGATTATTTCGGCGTCAATTTATTTACAAAAGAAAAAAGTTTGTTGATAACTAAAAAAAAATCATTGTTAGATCTATTATAATCATACTGTGGCGAATCGTTATTTAACTGTGGCGAATCGTTATTACTCTGTGGCGAATCGTTATGTGGCGAATCGTTAGTGTGGCGAATCGTTACTAATTCTTCACACCTATCCTGTTTTCTCGTATTCTCGGAGGGTTAAGGACTAAACTTGGTTGCATAATATTAAAAAAAAAACATTTTGTTACAGTATTTTTAGCCTGATACACAGAGAAATACCTTATAAACAAAATATAAAGAAAGAAAGATCGTAACTGTAAGCAAAACTAAAGATATTTCTGCTTGAATATACTGACCTTCACCCTCTATGTGAAGCAGGTGCTTTCTCGTATTCTCGTGGAATTTGATTGGTTGTTAAGGCTGGTCGCTATGTGATGATTTTATTCTACATACCAGTTCAAATCATTGGTGCCACACCTAATGAGTGTTTGATGGCCTAAATCTGTAATTTTATTGTGTTTTAATAACAGCTTGGCAGGCCATATCAAACTTTTAGGATCATATTGACGCCTCTTTGGTACCAAATGATTTTGATTGTTCCAAAAATAGTTTGAACTCAATTTAGTGTTGTTATTTACATAATCTCTCTAATATATATTAAGTTTACGTTTATTTTTTAGTTACTTATTAGTTATATGAGCATTAAACAATAATTACTACTGTTTTCCATTGAAGTTGTCAAAAATGAAATGTGTTTGGGACAAACAATGTTTCATTATTGGTTTTTAATTGGAGTTCATATCTTTTTTATACTATCTATTTGTGGAACAAATATTTTGAGCTGTATTGTATAAATAGTAGTGTGAGACCGTCATTTGATGCGTCTTGCGTCAGAGACCCGCTGCAGGTTTCTGGAACATGGAAAAATCTAGAAAAGTGATGATTTTTGGGGGGAAATTGATAAATTTAATGTTTATTCTCTGGATTTTACGATGATTTCCACAGTTATTTTGGTTTTTTATCTTTTTTTGTCGCATTTCTTTTATTTTTTTAATCAAGATGAAAATGCTCTGCTAAATAGACATGTTTTCGGATATCTACGGAAGTCGCGAGCGTCGCTTCCATCCGTTTTAATTATTCCACGAGAATACGAGAAACCCCGAGAATACGAGAAACAGGGATCTGTTCTGTCGGCACTATCTAATCTATCTATCTTCCACTAATGTCAAACAACTCGCTGGAACATAGAGCTGTCTGCATGTCTAAATTGCGAAAGCTAAAAAGAGTATAAAAGAAGATTAAAAATGTTGTTGTGAAAAACATGGTGCTGGAGAACTAGTGTGAGACATGTTCCCTGCAAGCTATGACTGCACTGCTGAACTGCTCTGTGGTCTGTGACATCCAGTCTTTCTTTACATACATCATGTGCGTTCCAATGTCAGAGTTTTTGCAGTCTCTGACTTCCAAATTTTGAAACTTAATGGAAGCCCAGTAAAGTTCATTCTGTAACAACATAAGTTATCAAACAAAAGAAATAGCACCTTATCCCAACTGGATTGCATGTCTGACCACCTGTCACAAAACTTGTTTTAGTACTACTCAAAAACTGCTAATGTAATTTCATCTAAACCATTTACAGGAATGATCAGTACCAAAATCTAGATGTGAATATCATCAGCATTTTCCAGTTCAATGATACTTGTCAGAGTAATGGCCCCTTTAATGATCTTTAAAGTTTGAATGTACTACTCATAAGAGTCAAATAAAATTTAGATACTACTAATGTAATTTATAACTTGACTTGATTCAAGTTCTTGGGCATAATTAACAGGTTTTTCGGTTTAATGATTTTTAGCCAAGTTATGGCCCTTGAATAAAAAAAAATGAGTCTTTGCATTCAACAAATTTAAGATTTTGAATAAAAAATTTTTTTTACAGTTTACTGGTTGGAATTCCAGTTTTGAATTTATTCTACTTCTAACTAAATTTTCTTAAAATTTACACTGGCCTGAACTTATTTACACTGGCCATGGGCCATCGGGCCTGTGCTAAATTCAGTGACTGTTTTGCTCATTTATAATGATTTTGTTTGTCTGCTAGATAGTAGCTGCAACATGCTACAAACATACTATTACCCCTCAATACAACTGCTTAATTGGCTATCTAGTATCATCAGATGACACATGTGATAGCTGTCCGAATACTCTTGTAAATAAAGGTGATACAAGTAGCCTGGCAAGTAGGCCCATTTCTTTGCCATGTTATCATTGTAAAGAATAGTGGGACACATTGTGGCAACAAACATTACACAGCATTTTAAGGTCAACAATGTTTTATTTGACATCCAACATGGATTCAGCCTCAATTACATTGTAGGTCAAAAAGTCCTGCAAATACATTATATGATCAATCATTTTAATGAATAAATTTTAAAAGTCACATATAAAAAGATTGTTTATTAAATTTCATAAATTGCTTAAAATGTCGTATATATTTTTCTGATGGTTTAATCATATTTTATTGCTTTTACATTTTATACAAGAACAGATACATTGTCACATGTAAACATACTACAAAACAGTAACGAATACATTTACAGTTTATACATGGATGTTATAGTTATTATAAAAAAGCAAAAGGGTCGGGCCACAAGTTTTAACAACATTAGAGAATTGGCCCTTCCTTAAAATAGCTAAGGAGATTTAAGTTTTCAACCAGTTTGGATTTAGGGACATTGAGGTGTGACCAGTCATTTATACTGTATTTTCTGTCTTTTTGAATAGTTTCTGACTGTTCAGCTTATGTCAAGTACATGTGGCTTGTGGCTAAATTCTTCTGCATGATTGCTAGGGAGTGTCATGTAGATATCTCTAAAAATAAGTCTTCAGCAACTAAGAGTAAGATGTTTTGTCACTGCAATGATTAGAAACATTTGGCACAGTTTTGTTACATTTGTTGTAATGAAGATGTTTTATTCCATTTGATGAAAGTCCAATGATATTTATATCTTTTCTTCTGTTTTCAGGTTATACAACATCAAACAGTAAAATATGAAGTTATACCGTTATCACCTCTATCTAAGCATAGACTTAGTAAGTTGTCATTTTTACTAATATTGAAATTTAACAAACAATTACACATGTAATAAGAATAAAATTTTAAAAGTTTTGTAAATCTGGTGATATACATGTGTACTCTAACTCATTATTTACTGTAGGGGCACTGCACATAAATACTCAGCAGCTGGTATTACTGGGAAAGTTACAACTGAATTCATGGGTGCAAGTTTTCAGGCATATGCCTGAAGCTCAGGTTTTTTTGTGACAAATTTCATCATGTTTTACTATAAGATAATGTAGGAAAATGATTATGAATACATGTAAAGGTTTTCAGGTTTTTCCAAATTTTTAACTTGCACCCATGTGAATTGTGTACCTTTTCAAACCAAATAAAATTAAAGTAAATTAACAATTTTGGTCAGATTTATACATATACATACTTGTATTTTGTTGTAAAATAAACCATGCTAACAATTTAAAGTAATTTTTTCAGGTATGCTTAGGAGAAAGACATTAGTATTAGATTTAGATGAGACGTTAATACATTCACATCATGATGGAGTTATACGACAGACTGTTAAACCAGGGACACCTCCAGATTTTGTATTAAAGGTAAGACGTTTTTAAGTGGCGGCGTATTTTTTACACAAAACACAAAGTGTTCCTTTAATTGAATTCCAAAAATAGCCTTAGATAAATTTGATGATATTAATTGATGTAAAGGTACAGTTTACGTCTTAAAGTAAAGGAATGATTCGGAAGGAGAAAAGAGCTAGTTGTTTTTGCTGCTGCTTATTGTGACATTTTACTAGATATAACCTAAAATTAACCTCTGCCTCTAGAATAAAGCTAGCTCACATAATTATGGTGATACACTGACTAGACCTCCTTAAAACCTCAATTGTCCTTAGATACAAAATCTGCTATAAATAAGCCTTTGTATAGACATCATAGCCATAATATTTTAATGGTCCTATTTCAGCCTGTTCCCATACTGGTATGTGTGACACATTGACAAATAATAATGTAATATTGACCATAATATTATAAATATCTTATCAATTAATAAGCATAAGTGTTTGGGGCTTTACTACCCATTTAGAGGTAGGAATGATTAAATGGCTGAGTTTTAACCCTTTGTGCCTCACTGTGTGTTTCACTATGCTCAAATTCTGCCAAAAACTTTGCCTTCTTTCATTTTATAAAGCTATCCAGTTACAGTAAATTTAAATTATGATGGATATTTCTGATAGGGCGTCTTATTTGTACATGTCTTGTTGGCGGCACTTACATATCTTGTGGGCTCCTGAGTACCCAAGGGTTTTCCTTCACTGGTTAAGCTTGAAAATTAATTATTTTGAATTTTTATTGTTGTATATATTCAAGGTTATGATAGACAGACATCCTGTGAGATTTTTTGTACACAAACGACCACATGTAGATTATTTTCTGGAAGTTGTAAGTACTGTTACTTCTGTATTATATTAATTATAATGATCACTAGATTACTGTACTTTTCCAACTAGATCAATAAGCAGACATAGTTTACAATTTTTGTTGACGTGACAACCTTATATTGTGTTGTCATTGTCAGATTGTACTGTGCTCTTCCTTTCTTACTGTTTGATGGAATCCAAGAGCTTATTTTCATATTAATTCTAAACTGTCCACTCACTTGGTTCAATAAGGATAACATCCGACTTGAAATCCAGGTGTTGCTACTTGGGTTTTTGGAAGAGGCCAAATTTCTGTGTTACATTTGATCTGGGATATTGAGTCAAATAGTCATTTGTTTATCACTACTACTGAAAACATGTTGGCTTTGGAATTAAATCAGTTGTGGATAATTGGTAATTACTGGTCAATTACCCAGGAAAGTTGGTAAGATGGAATTGGGTGTGCAAGACCAAAAAATGTTGAAGTCAGTATAAAAACCAGACCAACATATTGAATATAAATGGTAAGTTCTGCAACAGAATCCAGGAACATTGGTTAAATAATTGCATTTCTATTTATATTTAAGAGTGTAATATATATGTAATACAACCATACATATTATAACAGATTTTGTTTGTATTGTAGGTGAGTCAGTGGTATGATTTAGTTGTATTTACAGCCTCTATGGAGATATATGGGGCAGCAGTTGCTGATAAACTTGATAATAACAGAGGAATATTAAATAGACGATATTATAGGCAGGTTAGTATCATTGACTAGTGTCCACAGGTCTTTACTGACCAAAATCCATTCAGTAGTGACGGCATGGCTGAATGGTTAGCTCGTCGGACTAGTAATCTAATGATAGCTAGCTGCATTGGTTCAAACCCCGTCAGGAGCAAGTCATTGTTTTTTTATGCCACCGCAGCATCTGCGATTCACCTGTGTGTTTGTTTGTGTGTGTGTGTGTTATATAGATTATATAGTGAACTTAAAAAATCTTCTTGTGAAAAACCACTTGTCCAATTTCAACCAAACTTGGCAGGATTGATCCTTGGGTGAAGGGCTTCCAAAGTTGTTCAAAGAATTTCATTCCATGCAGAAAACTGGTTGCCATGGCAACCAAAAGGAATTATAAGAATAAATTTAAAAAATCTTCTTGTAAAGACCCAAAAGGCCTAGAGCTTAGATATTTTGCATAAGGCATTGTCTGGTAAACCTCTATCAAAATTGTTCAAATTATAACCCTGGGGTCAAAAACAGCCCCGCCCCGGGGGTCATTGATTTTCACTATATGTACATATAGAAAAAACTTAAAATAACTTCTTGTAAAGACCCAAAAGGCCTAGAGCTTAGATATTTTGCATAAGGCATTGTCTGGTAGACCTCTACCAAGATTATTCAAATAATAACCCTGGGGTCAAAATCGGCCCGCCCCGGGGGTCATTGATTTTCACTATATGTACATGTAGTAAAAACTTAAAATAACTTCTTGTAAAGACCCAAAAGGCCTAGAGCTTAGATATTTTGCATAAGGCATTGTCTGATAGACCCTTACCAAGATTGTTCAAATTATAGCCCTGGGGTCAAAATCAGCTCTGCCCCGGGGGTCATTGATTTTCACTATATGTACATATAGTAAAAACTTAAAATACCTTCTTGTAAAGACCCAAAAGGCCTAGAGCTTAGATATTTTGCATAAGGCATTGTCTGGTAGACTTCTACTCAGATTGTTCAAATTATAGCCCTGGGGTCAAAATCGGCCCTGCCCCTGGGGTCATTGGTTTTCCTTATATGTATATAGAAAAAACTTTATAGTAAAAAAATTTCTTCTAGCAAATGCTAGAGGTAAGATATTTTTGCATGAAACATTGTGAAGTGAACTTCTAGCAAGATTGTTCAAATTATAGCCCTGGGGTCAAAATTGCCCCTGCCCCGGGGTCATTGATTTTCAATATATACATATAGTAAAAATAAAAAAATCTTATTGTCTGAAGGTACAAGGCTTAGAGCTTGAATATTTGTTAAATGATATCATCTATAGGTACTCTACCAAAGTTGTTCAAATTTTGCCTCTTGTGTCAAAATTAGCCCCGCCCCATGGGCCATAGGTTTTCCTTATATGTATATAGTAAAAACTTAAAAAATCACCTTCTCTAAATTTACAAAGGCTAGAGTTAAGATATTTTGCATGAAACATTATGTAGTGAACCTCTAGCAAGATTGTACACATTATAGCCCTGGGGTCAAAATTGGCCCCACCCCCAGGAGTCATTGATTTTTACTATGTACATATAGTAAAAAAAAAAAAGAAATATTTTTGTCTGAAGGTACAAGGCATAGAGCTTTGATGTTTGCTCTATAATATATTCTATGGGTTCTCTACTAAAGTTGTTTTAATTATGCCCCTAGTGTTAAAATTGGCCCTGCCCAGGGGCAGTGATTCTCATTATGTTCACATAGTAAAAACAGAAAATAAAACAAATCTTTTCTGAATAGGAGAAAGCTACAGCTTAGATATTTGACTTGAAATGTTGTTTGGTGGACCTGTATCAAGATTGTTTTGAATTAAACCCTTGGGTCCATAATTTTGCCTTGCCCAAGGGGACAGTGACCTACTTTCTTGTCCTTTAATGTACAGCAATGAAATTTTGACCATGTGCACAGTTTTAGTTGTAAAATTGAACTTTGATATCTGGTGAACTAGATTTTGATGATGTGACCTACTTTTTGTCCTTTGATGTACAGCTATGAAATTTGAACAATGTGTACAGATTAAGATGTTAAGTGAACTTTGATTTCAGCTGACCTAGATTTTGACAAAGTGTCTTACTATGTTGTCCTTTGATGTAGTCATGAAATTTAGGCTGTGTGAAATATGACCTTCACCACCAAATTCACTAGACTCAAGTGCATTGATATATTCCTACTCTGATCTTTTATTGAGTTAACAACAGATTTAACCACTAATCTGATAATAAGAATTAGATAGGTCAGGGATCTATGCATTATGACAATCTTCAATTGTATAGAAACAAAAAAATCTGTTCCTACACTACTATTTAGTGTTGTATTAATGCGGTGGCATAGCATTTTTCTCAAATGCAATCTTGTTTTAGCAAGAAACTTTAAACTCATTGCTCAGTACCGGTTGGTTCTGGGAACAGATTTGAATGTGTGTTTATAGTGTAAGCTTCTAACTTCTTGCACAATCAAACTAAAATAAATTCTTTATAAAACAAGATCCATTTCTCCTATAAAATTTCATTAAACCTGGTCAAGATTTAAAAGTCTGGATCTGTCACTCAACATTGTTATAAAAGTTTGCTCTTGCAAGGAAGTATTAGTGCATATTGTTATGATACCCTGTTTTACAAGTATGGATTTCTTCTGATCTGTTTTTTGCCCCCTTGTGAATTAAAAAAAAGTACTACATTTTTGTACATGGCACTTGTTTCACTGTCTAGCACTGAGACTTGATGAGGACTCCAATGTGACAGTCCTTGTGAAAATTCCTTGCTGCAGATAAATAATTTACTTTGTTCTGTCATCTACAAAGATTTCATTGTACAGATTCAGAAGCAATGATTTTTAAGGTTATCAATAATGATATTTATATGAACCTGCAGTTGTTAACTTTGAATCATGTTGGTGTGATATGATTATGCACACGGGATTTAAAATGTCATTTCAGAACGAACCAATTTTTGCATTTGTATTCTGATGGTAACAAGTTGACATAATATAATTTTATGCTAGTTTCAGTTTTCATAAAATCAATGATCAGAGGTTTCTAAATTGGTCTAGATTTTTTAAATTTCATTACATTAAGGGAAAGTTTCTGTAATGCTTTCCTGCCAAAAAATTTCTCTAACATCAGCCAATATCATAATAAATCGGCCATTTCCAGAACATTATTTTTCATGATCTCTTGGTATTCAAATAATTTTTAAGAGTTTATACCGAAATTTAGTACATATCAATAAAGGATGAGTGCTTGTTAAAAATCTAATGCCTAAGATTTTGGAAAAAGGTATTGTGCTGGAAATAACCAACTTGCTTAGATATTGGCCGATGTTAGATTTTTTTTGGCGGGAAAGCATGATAGTAAGACTACCTTATTTATTGATATTGTACAAGGAGTATACATGTATAAAGTTTGATGTTATGTAATATTTACAGCATTGTAATTTAGCAGCGGGTAGTTACACTAAAGATCTCTCTGCCATTAACCGTGACCTCTCCAGTATATTTATACTAGATAATTCACCTGTGGCATACAGAGCTTATCCAGGTAATATCACTCTCTCATTTTGTATATGACTTGTATCAACACATAGTAAGACTGTTCTAACCTGTATCACCCTCAGTATCTTAAATAGACCTGTCCATCTCTCAGTCTGGACAAAACAGTTAATTATTTACAGGGAAAATTTCAAAATATGTACTGAATGAATACATTCATGTGAACACTCCCACTTCAAGCGGGAGACTACCTCTTTCTGCAGCCATGTTTTCAAAGATTTTTCTTAAAATAAGGGGTATTTTCACAAATGTAAGAAATCTCCCTATTTTTGATGTCAGAACTGCATTCTTTGTTTATTGTAAATTCTAAAAATCTACCTCTTTTTGAAGAAAAATCTCCCACTTGATCATCGAAAAAAGTTCACATGTATGTGAATAGTGAACAGTGCAGACCATGATCAGACAGCTTAGATGTGAGGGTTAATCTTGGTCTGCACTGATCATATGGATTACTGGTAATTTACATGGATTACTGGTAATTTACATGGATTACTGGTAATTTACATGGATTACTGGTAGTTTACATGGATTACTGGTAATTTACATGGATTACTGGTAGTTTACATGGATTACTGGTAGTTTACATGGATTACTGGTAATTTACATGGATTACTGGTATTTTACATGGATTACTGGTTATTTACATGGATTACTGGTAATTTACATGGATTGCTGGTAATTTATATCCATGGATTACTTGTAATTTGCATGGATTATTGGTAATTTACATGGATAACTGGTAATTTATATGGATCACTGATGATTTATATGGTTTACTGGTAATTTAGGTGAATTACTTGACATTTATATGGATTACTGGTAATTAACATGGATAACTGATAATTTAATTTTCATGGATTACTGATAATTTACATGGATTACTGATAATTTACATGGATTACTGGTAATTTACATGGATTACTGATAATTTACATGGATTACTGGTAATTTACATGGATTACTGGTAGTTTACATGGATTACTGATAATTTACATGTATTACTGGTAATTTACGTGGATTACTGGTAATTTACATGGATTACTGGTAATTTACATGGATTACTGGTTATTTAATGTTTTGTCTCCTTGTTTTTGTGTAAAAATAGATAACAAACCTAATAAAGCTGTTTTAACTTTAATGTGTCCTATAATTTATATTTTGTGTAAGACTTTGAGAACAAACAAAATGCATGTACATTTGCAGTATATTATGCTCATAATTTATATTGACTTATGATTTAATAAACAAAATATGACTGTTGACATTGAGCTTTAAATAACCTTGATTGTCAAGGTCAAAGTATTAAATTTTGGTTAAGTTGTCATAATTTTGTTATTTATGTACGGTTTTAATTCATATGTGGACAAAACGACACTTGTGACCAAAGAGACATGTGGAATAATTTAGAAATGACCTTAACCTTTAAATGACCTTGATTTTCAAATGATTACATTTTGATTATATTTTCTAAACTTTGTCATTTATTTATGGAAAGTGGCTCTTGTTGGGGATATTAAAATGAAAATTTGAAATTGGTCAGTCAAGGTTACTATTTGGCAATTTAATACATTTCAGGACATAAATGGTGATATGTCTGGGGTCTCTACTCTCAGTGCCTGAAAAGGTGCATGGAGCCCCTTATTAAACTTAAAACACACACATGTTGGTCAGTCAACAGTATAGGGCCTGGTCAGATTTCATGGATGTAGAAGCTGGCCCGGCTATTCACTGGCAGTAAAGGTTTATAACTTTAGATTTCAGCAGATTAGCCCTTAGCATTCTGAAACCGAAAGTGATTAACTTTTACCACCAATATCCATGCAGTCTGACCTGGCTTTATACTGTTGGTAGTTTAGTTTTTGTACTTTTACGTGGACGTTTTTCAATGAACTGTTACAAATTATGTAACATGTATTCTGCATGTTAAGGGTTAAAAAATGATCGCCTGTATAATAATTGATTATGTTTATATTTCAGATAATGCTATACCAATCACGTCATGGTTTAGTGACGCAACAGATACTTGTTTATTATGTTTATTACCGCTGCTGGACTCTCTACGATTCTGTAACGATGTACGTTCTGTCCTCAGCAGGAACTTACACAAAGTTGTCGTATATTAGTTTAACACTCAGATACCATTATATACAGACAGTATCATAGGATCATCTAATTAATCATGTGTCATTATTAAATGAGCCATGTCACGACAAAACCAACATAGTGCGTTTGCGACCAGCATGGATCCAGACCAGCCTGCGCATCCGCGCAGTCTGATCAGGATCCATGCTGTTCGCTAACAGTTTCTCTACTTGTAATAGGGTTTATAAGCGAACAGCATGGATCCTGATCAGACTGCGCGGATGCGCAGGCTGGTCTGGATCCATGCTGGTCGCAAACCCATTATGTTGGTTTGTCGTGACGCGGCTCATATATTGAAACAGTCAAGAATTATGTTTGTTAGAATCACTGTTTTATTTACATAAACTTTCATATCTCTGCTAAGAACATCATTTTTATTCTGTTTAAAAAGTGTATGTTAAATAATTTTATATCCATATTCGGTCACTTCTGGTGCAAAAAGAGTTTAATTTTATATTCGTCTACCAATCAACCCATTATTGGATGTCACAAATATTTGGTAAAATGTATATTTGTGTTGAAAATAATTCTGTTGAAATAGCAATATGTGGCTATTTTTATGCTGTCAACAAATTCCAGCAATTTTAGATCTTGTTCATTCTGCATAACAATAGCTCTAGATAAATAACATATTTATATTTGTTAAACTGTTACTGTAGTTGTGCCGGGATTATTCTGTAACAACAATACTGAAGAAGTGTGTATCAGACTTGGAAAATATGATAGATTTAAAAAAAAGTTTTTAGAAATATTTGTATATGCATGTATATCTGAAAATGGGAATAGTTTTTATGCTCCCACAAAGTGGGGAGCATATAGCGTTGCACTTGTCTGTACGTTTGTCCGTCCGCCTGTCTGTCTGTACGTCCCGAAATCTTGTGAACGCAACTCCTCTAAAACCGGAAGGGCAGATTTTGCTTAAACTTCCAGGGATGAACAACCTTAATGTGTAGATGGTAGTAAAGGAAGGAATTTTTGCTGCAACCAAATTTAACAGAATTTAGCCCTTTGTTGATTTTTTCACTATATACTATGTAGAAATCTTGTGAATGCAACTCCTCTTAAACCGGAAGGGCAGATTTTGCTTAAACTTCCAGGGATGAACAACCTTAATGTGTAGATGGTAGTAAAGGAAGGAATTTTTGCTGCGACCAAATTTAACAGATGATTTTTTCACTATATACTATGTAGAAATCTTGTGAACGCAACTCCTCTTAAACCGGAAGGGCAGATTTTGCTTAAACTTCCAGGGATGAACAACCTTAATGTGTAGATGGTAGTAAAGGAAGGAATTTTTGCTGCGACCAAATTTAACAGAATTATTGCCCTTTGTTGATTTTTTCACTATATACTATGTAGAAATTTTGTGAACGCAACTCTTCTTAAACCAGATGGCAGATTTTTCTTAAACTTCCAGGGATGAACAACCTTAATGTGTAGATGGTAGTAAAGGAAGGAATTTTTGCTGTGACCAAATTTAACAGAATTATGGCCCTTTCTTGATTTTTTCACTATATACTATGTAGAAATTTTGTGAACGCAACTCCTTTTAAACCGGATGGCAGATTTTGCTTAAACTTGCAGGGATGAACAACCTTAATGTGTAGATGGAAGTAAAGGAAGGAATTTTTGCTGCAACCAAATTTAACAGAATTATGGCCCTTTGTTGATTTTTTCACTATATACCATATATATGTTGTCAGTGGGGGCATCCGTGTCCTTTGGACACAGTTCTAGTTATACCATCTTTGAACAGCATAAAAAATGTATTGACAGAATTTCTTTTGTTTTTCTTTGTTTGTATTGACATAATTTGAAATTAAGTCCTAGACATAAAGACATGTTATTCCATGCATAATTTATGTATACAGTTTGAATATTTTATTTTGGAGTTATTTTTGACAATAATTTACAGGTTCTCCAAATTTTGAAATAAAGAAAATATGTAATACCAATGAAAAATGGGTTTATGTAAAAAAAATCAGTGATTGTCTACGATTGATATGTTTTTGTTACCCACTGACCTCACTACTGGTTCCAGGGAGAAATGAATGCCAGCCATTGGTTGATTCAAATTAATCGCCAACCAATCAAATGCTGGTGTTTGAGAACAGTTTTGCATCTAAAAATTTGTAGGATTCATTTTCGTTCCTTTAAATTGCAAAATACCTTAAAATATGAAGATCATTTAAGAAACATGAATGTTAATCAGTAGAGATTATGTACAGTACAATCTGTGCAGAACAAGACCCTTTTAGAGGCAACAGTTTTGGTTGTTGCTAAGAGACCATTCTCTAGAGAGAGGAGATTTGTCCCGGTTGTTGTCAATGGGTTATTGCTTTGCAGAGGTTGCAGTGTAAACTTGAAATTTGTTGTTACATAATTGTTATTATTTCACCATTATAAAGGCAGCTGTGCATTGGGTATGCTGCACACAATTTTATTATTTACATTAATTTAGTTTGTTCTAGAAACTTCAAATATCATACTTTGCTGCTTTCAGATTTTATATTAATTTCACTCCTCAGATTGATAAGAAAAATTGAAATTAAGTTTTATTTTTATTGGAGAAAATAATTATTATGATTATTTAGAAATAATTTTGTGTATCTCTTCTTTATTTAAAAAATTGGCTTGGTCTTGAAGTTTAGTATTGATACATATATTTTATTGGCAAACATTACAAGAATAGTTAACATAAACTGAACAAAGTTCAAATTTAATTAAGACATTCTGTAAAATCTGTTTAATTCTCATCATTTGTAAATTTTGCATACAAAATATAAGTTTAAAAGCAGCAAAATATCATATTTTTACTAACATAAATGCACCCTAGTGCTAAGCAGAAAAAAAATACTTTCTTGCTGGGTTTTTTTTGTACAGATTTTTTTTTGTGGTTATTTTTTATGTGTAAAGATTATTTGAGCCGCATAACGACAAAACCAACATAATGGGTTTGCGACCAGCATGGTTCCAGACCAGCCTGCGCATCCGAGCAGTCTGATCAGGATCCATGCTGTTCGCTTACCAACCCTATTACAAGTAGAGAAACTGATAGCGAACAGCATGGATCCTGATCAGACTGTGCGGATGCGCAGGCTGGTCTGGATCCATGCTGGTCGCAAAAGCACTATGTTGGTTTTGTCGTGACGCGGCTCATTTGATAATTTAAACATTAGCAAATATTATACACAAAATGATTAAACTTGTACATATTTGATAAGTGCTTTTTTTCAACAGTTCATCAGGATAACTCACTTTGCATAAGATGTTGTTGTTTTTGTTGTTTTTTGTTTTTTTACTTTGTAACTATTATCATGAGAAATGTAAAGTTTATAGAAATAAGAAATAGTGATATTGATAGGTCTCACACAGTTCTGTATGAAATAGAAATGTATAAAACATTTTGATACCTATGAAATTAATGTATGTGTTAAATTTGATAAAGCCTTCTTTGTAATTAAATAAATAGAATGAAATAAGGGGAGGTAAATGATGTATGAAATTCACAGGGTTGGGAGTTGGGGTAATTATTTTATAGAGTTAAATTTATTTGTACATTAAATCACCCATATTTTCCCATTACCATGGTTACCTAGATAATCTACCTAATCTTGTACCCAGTACATACTGAATGTAGCTGTATCACTGCTAGAACAAGGTTATTCCCTGAATGTTTAAACTGATTTATATGACAAATATATTAACCCTTAACCTACTGGATGTCTTATATGGACTTTTCCAGCATCCATTTTTTTGGAACTATCCATAGTTGGTCAATCAACAGTATAGAGCCTGGTCAGACTGCAGGGATGTGCCCTGGCTCTATCCTGGTGACAGACTGCAGGGATTTGCCCTGACTATCCTGGTGGCAAAAGCTCTATAACTTTTGGATCCAGCAGGTTATGGGTTAAAATCAGAGTTACTCAGTGAATGCTTACATGTATTGTTAAATTTTGATAAACTGGAACAATAGTTTGTATTATTCCATTGTAAGGTAAAGATGGGACATTACTTAAAGCAATAGATATACACCTTGTGTAACTTAAACCATGATATTTCTATAACAGAACTTTAACTTTTATTTTAACCAGAAAAAATGTAAGTTATTTAGTTACCAGATTTCTAAGTAATTCCCTGTTTAGTGACTGAAGTTCTAAATGGCCACTGTTTTGATCAGTTTTTTTCTTCATTTTATAGGTGATAAAGATAAGGATCAAATTTGGATGCATATCTATATGTTAATCAACTCACAGTTTATTTGAATCAAATGAAAGTGTTTTGTTATTAGGTTTGTCTAGTTACATCTTATTATTGACTGTTTAATTCCATTAATCCATGAAATAGTATTTTAAATGTTTTGTTGTTACGAAATATGCAGCAATTTCATACATGTAATTGGCTATGCCATTTTACAATTTCTAGCTGACCCACCTACACATTTCAACAGATCTTGTTGTTTATTTATATTCAGACAAATGTTTTAACATAATCAGTGACTGTATCTTATAAGTAATAAGTTTAAGATAGGAATGGAAGTATGACATCTAATACATGTACATGGTATTTGTGAGGATTAAACAGTGTGATTTTTGACGGGTGGTTTAGTAAGATTAACACCAGGGATATGGAAATGAGGGCAAATGTTTAATGTAGGGAAAGTTCATGCTGTAGAGGAGAAAAAATTAATGGTGATAATTCTAAATGTAATTTTCTCCCACCTGTTATACGCTGATATCAATACTTAAATAATCTTTACCAGTTTTACATTTTGACTATAATAAACAAAAAATGAGGGAACACTTGTTTGATATGTTAATGTTGGGTGTGTTCTAGAATCATCATAACTTTCAGCAGGTTTATCTTAACTCAACTTTCTGAAGAAAATTTCAACCTATTTTCATGACCAACTTATTAGCGTAGGTATTGGTACAATTTATTATTAAACTTTTGATTATGGTCATTACTTCAATGCTAACAAAGCTATTACATAGAAATGTCAAGATATGCACCTTAGTTCTGGCTACCACAACAAACAGTCAATGTTAAATTGTTAACCCTTACCCAGCTTGACTTTAAACGGACTTCACTGAGGTTTTTTTATGTGACCAGACTGGAAATAATTTGTCAAGATTGTTCCATTTGGTCAAGACCAATAACTTGCATGTAAAATTTCACTTATTCAGTTTTCCTAGAATAATATATGATTTTGATTGTGAAAAAAATGACCCAAAATTGAAAAGTGGTACCATGCTTTTCCCTCAAGAAGGTATAAAAATAGCATGTAAATATGATTTTTGATAATCGACAGTTTTATAAATGTAAGTTGGACACGTCTATTTTTAGAACATCAGCAGGTTAAGGTTAGATATTATTTAGTGCAATACATTATAATCTACATTGTAATCTACATTGTAATCAATTAGATCAATCTGGTATATATATTTGAAAAATCATAAAGATAAACTTACTTTTTCTGAACTTTCTGTGACTGTTTATTTATAGATATATGTGTGAAATTCAAATTGAGTATAATGTTTTAGTTAACTAGTAATTATAATTGTGAAAATGATTATATTTGTCACTAAATTATAATAGTGTGAAAAAGTGCAAATAAGTCTTGTATTCTGGTATAGAAGATAATGAGTGGTAAAAAATTGATATGAGGGGAAAACAACTCTATTAACAAAGAATGTATGTGATAGAGAAGTGTACTGTAATGTATAAGACATGTGAATGTTAGAATAAGAGAATTGAAGTATCACATCTAGATACTGTGTGATATATTATATGGAAAATAATGTAGATGTTTTGTTTGGTTTAGTACAGTACATTAATACATGTAGAATCTGTGGTCACATACATGTAGTTGCTGCTATTGTTGTTGTTGTTGCTGAGAGACACGTTTTAGTCATGCCCGGCTTTTCTGTGGAGATAAAATCATATAGCTTATTACTAACAACAGCAGGCCATGAAGTGGTGTGAGACAGCTTTAAAATGTTTCCCCCATACTTCTCATTGTTGTTAAATTTTTCTCGTCCCTTATGGAGCATTGATATATTTTTCTCGTCCCTTATGGAGCATTGGTTTCTATACTTAAAGTGTTTGAGGATCAAGTATGACTTTTTTAATCTGGAGATGTGAAGATGTTTCATAATCTGGCATAAAATTGACTCAGTTAAAGCAAACCTGCAATTCCCTCCATCTCAATCTATCAAATGTTACAAGGTCTTTTCTGTACAGAAATTTGTTTATTAATAAAGGTAATTTATGAAAATCAACATTTATTTCAAAAGTTTTTCTTTAAAATTGTGTCAGTCTTACTGAAGAATACTCCCTCCAAATTTAAAAATCTTCAATAGATTCACTCAACTTAGATAACACTTTTAATTGAAATACTTCTTTTAGCTTTTACGAGATTAAGCTGACGGCATATTTGAACCTTTTATCTGTCCATGTCCTAGAAGTTTTTCTGGAACTTAACATTACAGATGTGGTATGATTTAAAACAAAGTTGTGAACCCAGTAGGGATCCAACCAGTGGAGACGGGTACATAAACCACAAGACCACATCTAACTTGAATAACTTACAAACTATAATGAGGAAAGCAGTGACCATCTACCTTTAATAACTTATATACTATATAACCTTTATTAAGGAGGAAAGCACAGACCCTCTGATCACAGTGACATTAAGGTTGTTATCAAATGATTTTGAGAAAAATAGAAAGATAATATAAGGGTAATTCTGATATTAAACCTTAACCTGCTGGAACCAAAAGTATTCAGCCTTTGCCATCAATCTATGGCCAGGTCAGCCTGCACATCCTTGCTTTTATACCAGGTTTGATACAGTTGTTAGCTGAATTTTTGCAGGGGCGGTAAAGTCTGATTATGACTTACTTGCCTGTTTTTATGGGAAGCATTTCTTAACTTGTCCATATGATATTTATATAGTAAATTCTTGAAAAATTTGAACTTGTCCGTACAGACTGTGAGACAATCTGGGCAATATCGACTATTGGTTTCGCTGCCCCTGTTTTGTGTTTTGTTGCTGAAATCCCCAACAATTGAAATGGGCTGTTCCAGAAATTAAAGCAGGGCTAATCCATTACACAAACTCTGCAGGTTGAGGGTTAATGATTGTAAGTTTGATTCTATCATGTCATATAGGAACTCATGTTGTATAAACTAGCTGTCATATTCATTGATTGTGGTGAAGTATGTAGATTAGTGTTTGCTCGAACACCTCAGGAATATTTTAGAAAGTTTTTTTTTTTCATAGTAATTTTTCTACATTCAT